GGGCCCGGCGCTGGTGGTCTCTGCCCGCCCGGCACCGATCCCCGGCGCTGACCGCCTCCCCCCTCTCTGAACGGTCCCTCCCGTGAAGGTCCCCCCAGCACGTCGGGCCCCCACGGTTGGTTTGGGGCTGCGGGGACACCAGGGCTGGCAGGCCGCCCCACCGCAGCGACCACCGCGCTCATCCCTGTCCACACTGCTCTGCCCGGGAGCCCCCACGTCCCCGAGTCGCTGGGACACGGCTTTGCTGCCCTCCCGGTGAATGGTGCCTCGTCCCTGTGGGGTCCTGCCCCACTGCCACCCCTCGGCATCATGTGGGGTGGGGGGAGCTGGGCCAGGGCTGTCTCTCCGCCAGCCTCTGCTACCTGCTGCTCGCCCTCCCCACGGGCCCTCGCCTGCCCAGGCGGTAGCACAGCAGGCTGCGGGTCAGCCTGTGTTCCAAGGCAGTCAGACGGCTGAACACTGCTCCAGCTCCATTAAGGTGCCTCACAAGGACTGGTGGGAGCATCACTTGCTGCCCTCAATGGTGAGCAGTGAATAACATGAGGACATACTCAATGGCAAGAGGAGGAAGGCGTGGGCCACCAGACCCCTGTGGCTCTGTCCCCTCACTGTCCACGAGGGCTGTGCTCAGGTCCACGTGCTCAGCAGCCATACTGGGCCCTGCTGGAAGATCCTGCTCTGGTGCCGAGGCACAGTCCCAGCTGCCTGGCAGGTGCGGTTCTGCTCCGAGGGCCGCACTTCCCCGCAGCCTGTGCACAGAGCCCAGCGCTGGGACAAGGGCCACTCTGTGGCTCTGGGAGCTGGACACTGCAAGGTCTGAAAGCTGCTCTCTGCAGCAGAACTTCTGCCATCAGAAATGCCTTTCCTCCTGCTCTCAGCCGCCAGCCCCAGATGGGGAGCAGGACCAGGCAACTCGGGGCCCACTAAGGATGTCAGGAGAGCCATCACCAGCCACATTTTGGTCCTCACCCCATGGGCCACATTGTCCCACGTGGGCAGCACTGGCACAGCCGCACTCCGAGTACAGTGCTCCAGGGATGCTCAGGCACCGCCTGAGCTGAGGAGGGAGACCCAGGGTACAGGGCTTGAGGCGGGGTCAAGGGTTCCCCCAGCAATAGCCAGGCCCTCACAGGATGTCCCGATCTCGCACCTGCACTTCAGGCAGCGCTTGTGAAAAGGGACCGGAGGATGGAGGGGCTGCCCCGTCCTGCAGCACAGGAATGGCCTCACCCCTGCGCCTGCTTGGGGCTCTGGGAGGTGGACGCAGATGGGTGGGCGGCAGCGAAGGGGACAACCCAGACTGCTTCCCAGGGCAGTGGGCAGCTGGTGGGTCTTGCAGGTTCCAGGGCTCCAGGTCAGGCACAGCTTTGGCTGCATGTCATTGCCCTTCCAGCCCCTAGCATCAGCCTGGGGGCGCATCTAGGGCATGGGGCCAGCCTGAGGTAGCTGCGGGGCAGTGGGTTCCACTCCATCATCCCTTCCTGGGGCACGGGCGCTACCCCAGGGGCTGCAGGAGGATGGGTCTGTGCCCAGCCAGGAAGTGTAAGTGCCTTCTGAGAGCCTGGCACAGGCTTTCCCCCACCGCCGTGGGGCAGTGGCGTTACGTGGGGCTGAGGAAGGTCTGTTTTCCCATGTGGTGGAGGGGGGCTGGTGTTTGGACCCTCATGGTCTCAGCCATGGGAGCAGGACCAACTGCTGTCCTGGGGCTGGGGCAGCGGCACAGCCAAGGGGGAGCCAGAGCGAGTGTTATGGGCACCCAGCCCTCTTGCCTGGGTCAGGCTGTGCTCAACACCTTCCTGCTACCGCTGCTTCCTACCAGCCAGATCTGGCAGCGCCGGTGCGTGCCGCCTGCCCACCGCACCCCTGTGCCCCTCCTCTTCACGAATCCATCCTGCTGCTGGGGCCCTGGCTGGCGTGAAACCGGCCCCCCCGGCTCGCCCAGCCACAGGGCAGAGGTGACAGAGTTTCCTGAGGTGCTCAGGACAGATCCAGGGTGTCGGGGCAGGTTGTGGCCATGAGGGTCCTCGCCCTGCTGCGTGCAGCATGGTGGGCTCCTGCTGGGTGCTGCTAGGCCTGGTGCAGCTGCCTGGCCCCTCCTGGCTGCAGTCCCTTCCTTGGGACGGGCCCTTCTGGCACTGGTGGCATGAGCGAAGGGGCTATGCCTGGGCCAGCCGGGCGCCTGACACCGTCCCATCCCCACGGTCTTCTCAGCAGACACCCTGGTGGGGAAGATCACCATCCCGGCATATGCGCTGAGTGACGACGACTGCTCCTCTGGGTACCAGCAGCTGAGCGTGGAGAGCGACCCGGAGGAGGGTGGGGAGCCCGGCCCCGCAGCGCTGCC